GTTTTTAACTAACATTGGTCAATTAAAAATGACCATCAGTGTAGCAGAGAGATGAATACTACCAGCTCTGGACCTGGATTGCCTGGGTTCTGACCCTGACTTTTCCATTTAACAGTGATGTGGCTTAGGGCAAGTTATTTAACCCCTCTGCCTCAGTTTCATTTACTCTCCTCACAGGAGATTTTGTTGTTAATTTACTAAGAGTAAAGCCCTTAGAATAGTGCCTGATACATAAATTCCCAATAAATATTGTCTGTTATTGTATTGTAAATGAGAACATTAAAGTAGCTAAAGGTTAAATGACTTAGGTAGTATCCAGCAAGGTGACTAAACCAGGATTAGTGTTTCTTATTTCAAGATTTAGTGCACTGAGGTAGCTGTTTCCTAGATCAGAAGTCAGCAAGCTTTTTCCTAGAAGGTCAAATCAGTTAATAAATATTTTATACTTTGCAATTCTTACCAGATGTACCTGTTAATAACGTGGATTTTATAATAAAAGAAAACATGATAATTTCAAGAGAAACATCAAAGGTGCTTTATTTAAAGTAATGTCTATCACTAGCTATACATTTCCCCCATCTTTCAGGTAATTTGTGGATACTGTCCCAATAGAACTTTTCTTGTTTTGAGATAAACCATTCAGAGACCCAATTTTCCAATTCCTCATATGTTTTGAAGTGCTGCTCAGAAAGTGCATGTACCTTCCATCGGAACAAGTGGTAATCTGAAGGAACAAGGTCTGGTGAATAGAGCGGGTGGGTTAATACTTCCCAGGCAAGATCTTTTAACGTGTCTTTAACTGGTTTTGAAGTGTGTGATGGTGCGTCATCATGAAGCAAAATTACTTTGCTGTGTCTTCTGGAACATCTGGTCATTTCATGGTCAAAGTGTGGTTCAAATTGATTATTTGTTGTTGGTAGCAATCAGTATTAATTATTTTTCTGGTTTTAGAAGCTCATAACACACCACACCTTACTGATCCCACCAGTTAGAGAGTCTCTTGCAGAGCATTGTCTTCTTTCCAAAGCGATTTGGCCTTGTAGTCAATGTTGATGGTTGACCCGCATCAACCCATGATTTTGTGCATTTGGGATTCTCAAAATAAAACCACTTTTCATCGCCAGCCATGTTCCATGCAAAACGACTTTCTTTTGTGCTGTTGAAGCAACATTTTACTGATGACTTTTCGGCTTTCCATTTGTCTTTCATTCAGTTGATGTGGCACCCATTTTCCTTTCTTTAAAATCTTTCCCATTGCTTGTAGATGACTGGAAATTATTTGCTGAGCCATGTTTAATCTTTCTGCAAGTTGTTTTTTTGAGTTTGACATGCATCTTCATCATCTTCATCCAATAATGCTTGTAATTATTGGTCTTCAAACTTTTTTGGTTGACCTAGATGTTCTTTGTCTTTCACATCAAAATCACTTTTAAAGCATTTAAACCAGCATTCACAAGTATCTTGAGATGGAGCATGTTCACCATAAGTTTCCCGAAGTATACAATAACTTTCAACAGCACCTTTCTTCAAAATAAAGTAATGAATTAAAACTTCCCGCAGATGATCTTTTTTTTGTCATGAAATTTGACATTTTTAAGTGTAAAAATATCTATGATGTTAACACCATCAGAAAAATTGACATATGAAATTTTGAAGCTTGTTGTCAATACAACAAAATAGCATACATATCAAATAGCATATGTATCAACATATGTGTGACTCCATCTATTGAAAAAATCTGCATTATCAACCGGTACACCTGGTACAGCCTCTGGTGAAACTACTTCACTCTGTCATTGCAGAAGCAGCTCTAGCCCTGGCCAGTTGGCTCAGTTGGTTGGAGTGTCTTCCCATACACCAAAAGCCTGTGGGTTCAATTCCCAATCAAGGAATACCAATACCTAGTTTGTAAGTTCAATCCTCTGTCCGAGGCAACCAATTAAAGTTTCTCTCTTTAATAATAATAATAATAATAATAATAATAATTATTATTATTATTATTATTATTAAAAAGCAGTTATAGACAATATGTAAGTAAATGAGCATGGCTATGTTTCAGTAAAATTTTATTTACAAAAATAGGTGACAGGCCATATTTGTCCTGGGTTCAGACGCCTGCTTTAGATACTTACATCATACGTGAATAGAGACTTTGGATTTTGGTTTAGTTTTAAATGAAAAAATATGACATTGTTATAAGAAATAGTAACTTCACTTCCTAATGATTATGTCTTAACATGTTACTCTCAGTTATAAAGGTCATGCGTTAGATTAGAATATCAAAGGAATTTCGAAAATAAGCAATAGTAGTGTTTTCTATCACAAAGTGATATACAAAAAGTCATTTATTTAATGGTTTGGAGGATTTTCTTGGAATGTATGTTCTGAGATTTGGGCAGGATGTCAATGGTTTGCTTTATTAAGTGAACACAAATACAGACTTTTGTTTTTGAAAATTCTGTATAGGAAAAATTTGAGAGTCAAATAGAAAGCTATTTGTAATTATCTTTGTCATTACACTGAGTTTGTCATTACACTTTGAGTTTTTCTGCTAAGAATGTTTGCATGGATTTGGATTTTTCATGGCTTATTTTTTTAGTTTAATAATGTGTTCTTGTTTTTAAATTAAACTCGTCAGTGAGCCTTTTTTTTGTGAGTGACTGGCTGTGTTGGTTTGTTCGTATTTATAGCTCATGTCTGTTTCTGAGGAAATGACTAAAATCTCTTGCATTTGGTCAAAACTGTATAACAAAGGGCATCTTTGATAGACTTACACAAGGTTCATGATGGAAACTCAAAAAACCAGTGGTTTATGTTTATAAATGTTTTTATGTATTCAGTCCTGGTTGAGTCAAATAATCGGAGCTCTGTGCTGAGGGAGGGATAAATATACTCAATGCCTCTTAGTTCAGAGAATTCCTCTGGAGCAAGTTCAGGCAATGCTTTCTTAGAATCTTCTTTTAAAAAAAAATGTTTCCTAATTTTATGTGTTGTTTTGAATTTGGTCTTACAGAACATAGGTATACCTTTTTCTTTTCTTTAAACAGTTCCACTGGCTTTCTCTTCCTCATTCCTAAAAGGCATGTGCATATGTGTAAGCTTTGCACATATAATTTCTAGCAAGGAGGCTGGTGATGTTTGGGGCAGGGTCTGGGGTAGTGCTTGACTCACAGAAACCCACTGTGTCTTACTCCCTGCTGGAGCCCCCCACCTCCCCCATTCTGGAATATCCACAGGCCCTCTCTACCCTCTTCTCACCCCTTTACTGTTGGTTCAGTCCTCGTGGAAGTATAGGTGTTTGTTCCAGGGCAGAGGACAAAGGCACTGAGTAAGAAGGAAGAGAAGGCCTGTGTCCTGCCTGCTTGGATCCAGGATGACCTGTGTTCTGGGACCCAACTTAGAATTCACATTTTCCCTCCAAAAAGGCTTCGTTAGGGAGGGTGTTTGGATTTTGGTATGATTACTGTGCTAGGTCAGCTGTGTTAAGCTATGAATTCACTGGGCTTTTTGTATTCTAGCTTTAATCATCATTTAGCTTCAACCCTTTTATAAGCAGCTCAAGAAACCTCTTCTCCTAGTAAGTTTTGGATCAAATTATAAGAGCAATAATAATGTGCTCAGCCACTATTCCACATCCACACACTCTCCTGCCTCCATTCTCAGAAGCACTCATGGGAGAGAGCTCCTAAGCATGTACTTTGAAAACTGCTGATTAATAGAACTTTGCTTTCGGAGCACACACTAATCTTGAAGTCGAGTTTGCCTATGTATGCATCATTAAGTGCTTAAAATTTACCTAGATTGTGAGAATGTGAAACAGTTCTTGCATTTGTTCTTTGTATTACAACTGTAAACCTCCTGTTTTGCCTGCCCCTGTACATGGGTCATACATGAAACCAGCTTTAGGGGAAGCTCAATGGATAGATGTGAACTTGAGTCAATAAATTCCCTCAAGACAATCCATATCCCCCACTGGTGCTTGAAATGCCATTGTCAGTAATGCATTTTATTTTAGTGTCAATCACCTGTCTTCTGAAGATCTTTTTTATTTTATTTTAAATGAAAATGTCCCAGGAAGGATATCCATCAAGTTATCAAGTTGTTAGAACTTTGGTGCCGATCCTATTTTCCCTACTTAATGAAACATCTGGAGTCACTGACTCCTCAAAGGCTCAGATAAAAGAAGGAAAATGCTTCACTCCTACCCCACAATCTTGTCTGGGACTGGCCCCAACTATACATACATTTGAGATCACATGTGAGGTTGTGTTTCTAGTATTTAACTTGGAGCTCCTTTGCTTTCTCATGTAGATGGAGGGAATCCTGAGGTGTCCGAAGAGTGAGCACCTCAAAAGGAGCTTACATCTCCTAAATATTCCTTTATTACCTTTACTATATTTTATAACTATAATGGTGTGAATTTACATCTCCATAGAAATACTTACTAATGGGAATTTTTTTTTCTTAAGTAGATATTATTTAAAAGGGAATCCATCAGAAACACGTCTCAAACACAGTGTGTATGTTTCTACAATATTGTCCACATATTATTCTTGTTGAACAAGAAAATAATAAATCTCTTCATTTTTAACATCGTAAAGAGATATTGGAAAACTGTGGTTTCTTTGTTTACTCGACAAACATTCATAGAGGACCTAACATGTGTCAGGCACTTTGGACTGTAAAATTTAATGCTGATGGTTTCAGCAGAAACTCCAGCTTCAAGGAATATTTGAGGTTGTCCAGTAACAGGAAGTAAGGAAGAAGAGAGGGAGGCGGTGCCGGATGGGGAGAAGGAAGGAAGAGGAGGGCATGGGGAAGAGAAAACAGTAGAAGGAAAAAGGGAAGGATAATCAGTTAAATCTCTTGGTCCTTAACACATTTTTTAAAACACGTGTTATCTTCTTTGCTTACACACAACTTACACATCTATGGATTTTTTTTTCTGGTATGCAATCATTTGAAATTAGTGTTAATTTTTCTTTTCCATATCTTTTCAGTATTGAAGAACTTTATGGATTGGTTTGCTGATAAGCATAGCAAGATTTGAAGAGCTGAAGAAGAAATCAGTGCTAAATCTTAACTTTTTAATGTAAGTAAACGCACTTATCATCATTGTTTGTTTTGCACATCTCTAAAGCCTGCAATTACCTTTCTGGACACTCGGTGTGTAATTTTTTCCCACTAGTAAAGTTACTTGACTATGTCCATCTACTCATTATGCCTATGATAATTTATGACCCACCCATTTAAATTTTTTTAATTCTAAAAGTAATATGCCTGACATAGATGGCTGTAGAATTTAGGCCTGTTGTGACTGTTACTGAGAAGGAAAAGACAGACCTGGTAACATAAAAAGCACCGTCTTCTCTTCAGATCCTTTACGGTTCTTTATCTCAGACCATTATAGTGCCCCATCCATCTAAGTCAGTGAGAATTGGTCAACCCATTAAGGACCCTAGAGGCTTAGAAAAGTGAAGTGTTTTCATTTAGGCTTACTTACTCCTTCCCTCCCTGTTTCTCTTACTCAGTAATAACAATGACAATTCTTTATTGACGTTGTACTAAGTAACAAGCACTGGACTAATTCAGCTCAATTTTCATTCAATGACTACTTTTTCTGAGTGCTTGCACAAACCAGGTCCTGCTTGGACAATATTGCCTTATATCGTCCTCCTGCCAACCTTGCAAAGTAGGAGTTAATATTTTATTTTTTTATATATCTTATTGATTTTTTTTTACAGAGAGGAAGGGATAGAGAGTTAGAAACATCGATGAGAGAGAATCATCGATCAGCTGCCTCTTGCACACCCCCTATTTGGGATGTGCCCACAACCAAGATACATGCCCTTGACGGGAATCGAATCTGGGGACCTTTCAGTCGCAGACCGACGCTCTATCCACTGAGCCAAACCGGTTTCGACAGGAGTTAATATTTTAGTGCTCTAGATGAGGAAATTGAGATTCAGAGAGTGGCAAGAAGCGTGCAGATGGTCACACAGCTAGTAAGTGGCAGAGCCTGGGGTGTGAGCACAGCGTTGTCTAACTTTCCGATTCACCACATCCTAAATAGTGTTTAAAGCTTTTTATGGCGCATCTGTCGGTAGGAGACTGGAAATGTCTGGGTTGTAGTCTTACTACGAATGTGATCCTAATCCTTCCGTGGCTGTAGTCACAACAAGGACTGAGTTGGAGAAACATCCTTCCACCTTTGAGAGGTAGCTTTGGTACCTAGATGGGGAGTTAAGAGACCTAATGTTCAATCCCAGCCTTTCCTTGGATTTCCTGTGTCCTTGAGACATTTAATTGCCATGGGAAACAATTACTTTTATGCCAACCATGGAGAGCGGACCAGATGTTCCCCAGGTTCTTTTTCAATCAGCTTTTTATCGACGTATTTTATATGTAGAGGAAAGAGCATAGATCATAAGTGGATGGCTACCTGGGGTAATTATGACACAGTGGACACAGCTGAATAACAGCACCCAGCACCCTCTTTCCTAATGCTCCCAGGAATAATCTACTTTCTGATTTTGAATGCCATTCATTAAATAGTTTGCCTGTTTTTAAAGTTTATGTAAATAGCATCATACAGTATATCTTCCTTTGTGTCTGGCTCAATTTCCTTACCATGTTTGTGGAATTCATCTATGATATTACATATAGTTTACATTTTTCATTTTCCTTGCTATTATGGTACTTAGTTATCCATCTCTTTTACATTTGGTGGATATTTAGGTAGTTTTCCAATTTGGATGTATTACAAATAGTGCTCCATTGGATATTTTTGTGAATATATTTTTAGGATGATTGTGTTTTATGTGTTTAGGGACCACTCAGTCGTTAAGATTTTGCGTCTCTGTGGAGTGGTGCTGAAGTAGACACCTGTGAAAGCAGCAGGTTGATTTTAGGTGGCTAGATGATTTGTCTGTTTCAATGGGATGTTCTAAGCAGGCTAGTTAGGAAGAGAGTAAGATGTTTCTTGGGTCACATTGGGCATTTGGCCAAGTGGAAGCCCTCTCTGCTACGTTTGTGGTGTGATAAAGCTTGCTCTCTATCACCGAAGAGCTTTGGTTGGGTACAAGAAGGGATTGCAAAGAGGAAGAGAAAATAGACCCAGAAGAAGGAGGTGTTTGGGCTCCCCTAAAAATTAGAAGGATATTTCACCAGTTAGAGCAAGAGCCTGGAAAAGTGACAACCAGAGGAGGAATCAGCATGAGAGACCTGAAGAGCCTACGAAGAGGAACAGAGAAATAAAAATGGATCTGAGCAGGCAGCCTGGATCTCAGAAGGGGCTCTCAACGCATTTTCTGAACAAACTTACTAAGTTTAACTTTTGTTTCAAGGGAGCTTTGAAAAATCAATACCTAAAGTATAGATCCTGAAGCCAAAAATGAACTTAATCAATGAAATCACTAAATTAGGGGGGAATGTATTTTTTTAAAAAACAAATACAGGATGTGAGCTTGTGGGTTTTGCGTTGAGATTGTTTTGTGTTCAGATCATCGCTTCACTGCCACCTTTGCCCATGATCCCTTTCGGTCAGCCTTCTCGTCTGTAAAATGAGGATCTAATATGCCCACCTCTCAGGTTTGCTGTGACACTTTACTGCAGTGGTGTTTGGGTGCATTGCACTAGCACTAAAAATGGCCATTGTTCTTAATATATTTTGACTCTGTATCTGATCCTTCTCAGGAGTTTTCAGATCACTTCTTAAAAATAGGAGGTAAGCGTTGTTTCTTTTTTAAATATGGTGAACACTAGCAGAAACATTTTCCTGCTTGCCTCACCTTAAGCTGAAACTCAGAGCAAAGATAAAGAAAAGAATTGTCCATGTTCCCTGCCATGCCCCTCCCCAGCGTGAGTGAGTGAAGACACTCTTGGTTTTGGGAACTGCTTTGCTTGGTTAGTTGAAGAAGAGACCAGTGAAGACTTGGTTTCTGGGAAAATTAGGTCATTTTGCACAGAAGAAAATGAGACTCTTGCCAGGCATTTTGCAAACAAGTGTCCTTATTTTCCAAGGGCCTTTGGGGAGAGGCTATGTGGGTGATCCGCTGAAGACTACAGCCATCATAGGGTGTCCATTCCAACTGCCTGTGGTCAGGGACATCTTTCCACCTGTTGGCAAGTTCCGAGTTAGCTTGAGGGGCATAGGGTGTAGCTTAAGCTTGATTCTGCTGTCGATGGGATTATAATCCATCAAATGAATAATCTTGTGTTCTGAAAAGGAAACTGTGATAGTGACTTGAGTCAAGAAGAACATTTGACCCAAGACTCTGAAATTCTAGCCAAAACCGGTTTGGCTCAATGGATAGAGCGTCGGCCTGTGGACTGAAAGGTCCCAGGTTCGATTCCGGTCAAGGGCACGTACCTTGGTTTCGGGCACATCCCCAGTAGGGGGTGTACATGAGGCAGCTGATCAATGATTCTCTCCCATTGATGTTTCTAACTCTTTATCCCTCTCTCTTCCTCTCTGTAAAAAATCAATAAAATATATTTTTAAAAAAAAGACTGTGAAATTCTAGTTCTGATTTCTCCATTACTAGCTGTGGACCTTCAGGTATAGCATTCACCCCAGACTCCAGTTTCCTCATATGTAAAACTGGGAAGTTAGTTTAGATTGGGACTCTGAGGCAGAGGAGGATTCTGGGAACCCTGTAAATGGAATACATACTAAGTTTTGCATGTGTTTGTGTTTTTTCTAAATGCTAGATTCTTTCTCAGGTTTTGTCTCAAGTTAAAGCTTCTTGTGACAGCAGATTTTGGTATTTATGATAATGGGGGAAGGAATGGTTTATTTATTTAAGTATTTTTAGTGATTTTCAGAGAGAGAGGAAGGGAGAGGCAGAAACATCAATGAGAGAAGCATCTATTGGCGGCCTTCCTCAGGTCCCCTATTGGGGATCCAGCCAGAAACAGAGCATGTGCCCTGACCAGCATGGAATGACACTCAACCAACTGAGCCACACCTGCGAGGGCTCAAATATTCTTTATTCTAGGCAATTCATACTAAAAATTCTGAGAAAACTTGGGGGAAACAATCTTACTTGGACTTGTGTGTCACTTAGGTGGTTTCATTGGTTCATTATAACTTGAGACAATGCATAAGTGAATTTCTTTTCATCATGAAACTTCCATTTTTTCTCCTTTAGTAATCTCTCCAACCAAATATCTAAGGTCATCTTTACTATTGAATGGAGATGTAGTTTTGCTTTTAGAGCCATTCCTTCAAGCATACATTTCTTTTGTGCATGAGGGTGTGGATGGGGTTTGAGAGCTGCTGAAGCTAGAAGTCTTTTCTTTTCTTTTTTTAAATTTTATTTGCTTCAAACTATTAAAGGATTCATATTAGAGAGAGAGACAGACAGATATCCATGTGAAAGAGAAACATAATCAGCTGCTTTCCTCATGAACCCCAAACTGAGATTGAACCTGAAACCCGGGTATGTGTCTCGACTGGGAATGGACCACCTTTTGGTGTATGGGACGACGCTCCAGGCAACGAAGCCCCCCCCCTCCCCCCACCCTCCCCCCCCAAATCCAGGGTGAAGGTGGCCGTCTTTATTCTCGGTTGCTTTGGTCTCTCCTTGCCCCTTTGAAAATTGGCAGTCAGTGAGTTTGATTTTTTTCTTCTGAATACAGACATGCAAGCATACAATTGCAAACAGAAAGGAAATGTTTGCACGTTTAGCAAAATGTGTGGGGAGGTGTTTGTGTCGTGGGTGTGAGCACACCCTCGCTCTGTAATTGAATCAGTGGAGTGTTTTTCTTTCAAAATGCATTCATACATTTAATTAGGAGGCCCTCACATCTCTGATGGCACTTAGTTTTTTCGGAAGGAGGGAGAAGGCTCAAGGGAATGTTGACTCTTGGTGGATCTGTGCTTTAATATTACGGTATTCTTGGGAAACCAGGGTTCTAGCACCAGAATATCAATTAGCCAAGGCTGTGCATTACTTCAGGAATGAAGAAGTGGAAGAAGGGATTTCAATAGTTCTTAAATCTTCATGTAGCAGCAGCTCGAGGCTTTTGGATCAGGGGTTCCCAGGATGTGTTCCTTGGATTCCATAATGCTGTCCTCTCCTCAAACCACAGCCCAGAGCTGGTTTAGCCAAGAGGAGACTTCAGTTAAGGATGTGGTGGTTTGCTGAAACTGGTTTGGCTCAGTGGATAGAGCGTAGGCCTGCAGACTGAAAGGTCCCAGGTTCAATTCCGGTCAAGGGCATGTACCTTGGTTGTGGGCATATCCCCAGTAGGGGGTGTGCAAGAGGCAGCTGATAGATGATTCTCTCTCATCGATGTTTCTAACTCTCTCTATATCCCTCTCTCTTCCTCTCTGTAAAAAATCAATAAAATATATATATTTTTAAAAAGTGTGTGTGTGTGTGTGGTGGTTTACAGCCATTGTAGCAGGATTCATTTAGTCTTTAGGGGGGAAAAACCCCCCTACACACACATATATATATATATATATATATATATATATATATATATATATATATATATACTATCTCTTTAGAAAATGTGGTAGCTTTCAGAGCTTGAAATAGCCTTGACAGTTTCCTGTGACTATTATCTTGAACTGAGAGGTCTTCCCTCGCCAATGGCTGACTCCTAAGCACAATCCGATAATTGCGTTTGTCTTCTGTGTTTCAATTTGTATTCCAAAGCACAAGTTGTCATCATGTGATCAGCTTTTCTTATTTGTATGTTCGTTTTCACTTTACTCCTTTACCCTCATGGTAGTAATTATGCGCCTGGCTTCAGCTGCCTGGGCCATTTGACGCTGTGATATTAAGAGATTTTAGAGGAAAAGGTCATCAGCTGTCTTTCTGGGCTATTCTGGGCATTTTGTGCTGGATTTATTTTGGATCTAGCTTTTCTTGCCTTGGATGAGCTGTTCCTGCTCCTTGCCGTGGCCTCTCATCGTGCTTGGAAGGTTTTCAGTAGTAATCGGATGACTGCTTTGTGTAACACATAAACAGTCTCAGCTTGGGAAGGCGTCGAGAAGACGGATGGAGCGCTCCATGACTGCTTCTGTGCATGGAATTCCTGAGTCAGGAAGCCGGCCTCCAACACACTGCCGCCCGAAGGTGCTTCCTGCAGGAGGAGGAGGTTAGCTTTCCCACAGGGCAGCATGCTTCCGGAGGCATTCTCAAAAGCCTTGGGTGATTGGTGGGATTAAATGGTCTTGCTTAGACATTTTTAGAAATTAAAGAATGGATTATTTGCTGAGAAAAGTTAACTTTTTGGCGTCACAGTCTAAATTGATCAGGCCTGTACCCAACTTGGGCTTCGTGTGTTGTTGGGGGAGATAAAAACCAAATATCGAGCAGGAAATAAGTGGCCCCCAAGAAGCAGCAGAGCTGCCCTGGCCGGTGTGGCTCAGTTGGTGGGGCAGCATCCCAGGCACCGAAAGGTTGCTGGTTTGATTCCCAGTCAGGGCACATGCCAGGTTTTGGCCTCGATCCTCAGTAAGGGGCGTGCAGGAGGCAGACAATCAATGATTCTCATCAGTGATGTTTCTCTTTATCTCCCTCTCCCTTCCCTTCTTGCTAAAAACAACAACAACAAAAAGTAGCAGAACTTCGAGTATAAGACCTCTCTCAGGAGAAAACAGCAACACATTTACATTGACCCACAGCACCCCCTGGCCTGGTGACTTCTCTTTCTTCCCCTAGTTCAGTGGTCGGCAAACTCATTCGTCAGCAGAGCCAAATATCAACAGTACAACAATCGAAATTTCTTTTGAGAGCCAAATTTTTTAAACTTAAACTTCTTCTAACACCACTTCTTCAAAACAGGCTCGTCCAGCCCGGGTATTTTGTGGAAGAGCCACACTCAATGGGCCAAAGAGCCGCATGTGGCTTGCGAGCTGCGGTTTGCCGACCACAGCCCTAGTTAACCAGCAGCGCAGCAAGCACTTCTTGTGAAACTGTGTGAGCGATTATAGAGGGACAGAAAATACTAATTCTACTGGAGTGTTATAGGATCCAGAAAGTGACTTCTGTTTCCGGCGAAGCTGAAAAACGTCAGTGTGTTATGGCTGATTCTTTGCGCTCTTTACCTAATACCTGAAATAAAACAGTCAATTCTTGCTATCATTTCTATACTGAGTCCTTGCTTGTAGGGGATGTACAGGCTTAGGTTCCTGTGAGCTGCTGTCATGACATTTTCTCAACTGATCAATATGTAACCTTGTTTCTGTTTAAAGGGACCTTACTTAATATTATTCATTCATTAACACTGAACTCATGATGCTGTAATTCATGCCTTAGCAAGGTTTATCTAACACAGGCATTTTCTCCGCAAGGTGCACCACAGCTTTCTTGCACTTAGGAACACGAGGCAGCACTTCAGCCGTATGCCTGGGGCCACTTTAAACTTGAAAATCACCAACGAAAAATACAAAAAGTGGAAAAACAAGGACACTTGTTTGTAGTATGAAAACTGAGCTGCAGCTGAGACCGGTTTGGCTCAATGGATAGAGCGTCGGCTTGGGGACTGAAGGGTCCCGGGTTCGATTCCGGTCAAGGGCATGTACCTTGGTTGCGGGCATATCCCCAGTAGGGGGTGTGCAAGAGGCAGCTGATTGATGACTCTCTCTCATCGATGTTTCTAACTCTCTATCTCTCTCCCTTCCTCTCTGTAAAAAATCAATAAAATATATTAAAAACAAAAACAAAAACAAAAAAACAACTGAGCTGCAACAAGAAGGTAGAGCATCACCTCAGCTGGGACTGTGCTCACGGGCAACTCAAATGATTGGCTGCCCTGTGATGTCCATGAAGCACCATTAGCATTGATTTTGAGGTTATGAATAGATTTCATGGTGGGCATATTGACATATGTCTACTGTATCATATGAAATAATACTGATTGTTGTGGCAGGAGCCAGCTCCACAGTTTATGTAGCAAACTAATCATTTAAGGTAAAAAATGAGTTACCAGCTGGTATGGTGACTGATATCCAGACACAATTTTAAACAGCCTCATGTAAGGTGAAGACTGTCAAGGACAACTTGCCCAGTTATTAAATCCTGTTGTTGAACAGGTGACAGTTAACCCTCTGCCAGGCTTTGAACATCTAGAGAATAGGCACAATGTCCTGTGTATCTCCATGTCCTTGGTATGAAGGGTAATAATGGCCAGCACATAGTGGGACCTCAGCGAGTGAATGAACACTAAATGAATGAATGAGTGAGCGAGTGAGTGAGTGAGCGAATGAACGAATGAAAGAGCAAAGAGAAACCTACTTATGATGCCTTACCGTCCACTTTAGGACACCTTAGGAGTCTGGTGCTTCTTTTCAGCTTAGATAATTTCCCATCCACTTTTCAAGTCAGTGGTTACTAATTGTCAGAAACAGTAGTGCCTTAGAGCTGGTGTAGCATGAAGTGTATCAGAGCTGGGCCTGAGAAAGGAACAGGAGTACCACCAACCATACTGAGAAAACTACTTAAGGGCTAGAACAAGAATTTGACTCTTTCTTCTATCGTGCCATGGAGCCTGGTTTGAAATTTTTTCTCTGGAGTTTCTGCTACCAGCTTCTCTCCACTTTAGTCCCCACACTCCTACACTGCTGTTACTAGAAACGTCAGTCTAGAATACAGATTTGATCATCTCCACCTCTTGCTTCAAACACTGCACTCGTCCCATCAGATACAATCAAAACATCGCAGTGATCTGGTTCCATCCCTACACTTCAGACTGCGGTCTCTTACCATGGCACTGAAGTCCACTCTCTGCTCAAGCGGAACTGGACTTTCCACTGTCTCCCAAGCATGCCTCTTAGGACTCTGGTTTTCCCGCAGGCTGTTCCCTGGGCCTGCGATATCTGCTCCTTATCCCAGGTCATTCTCAGCTCTAGTTCAGATTATAGCTTCTATGCTGTCTGGTGAGATGCACATCTTGCCCACAGGTATGTGCTGTTCAAAGGAGGCTCTATTATTCTCATCTTTGTGCACAGTCTTTGGCATGTTAATACTCCGTAAATGTATTTAAACAAGTGAATGAATCTACACATTACCTGGAAGATTTGGAAATGTGAAGGCATTAATAAAAAAACACTTTTAAATAAAAAAGAGGTTAGAATATCAGTTTCTTTGTTCAGACAAGTAGAAAGATGTGGCCGTGCTTGTGTTCATTAGCTTTGCCTGCTGTGCAAAACAGCTTTTCCACTCAGGAAACACCTATACTATGCCATGCTCCCTGGCCCCTGATATCGACATCCAGGGACTAGATTTAATTAAAGGAGAAGCTAGTTAAATTTTATGTGAGAGGAAATGACATTCAATTTCAGATATTATCTGTTTAATTATTTCCTGCAGATTAACCATTTATTTCACCAAATGTTTATCATGGAGTTTCTGTGTACAGGGAATGGGGCCAAGAGCTTTGGAGCATGCAAAGATAAGCGGAACACAGGGGCTTTTGTCTAATGAGAGAGAAAGATATGGAAACACTTTTCTTTAAAACAGGATAAAATATGCACTTACTACAGGCAGTGCTGTGGTAGCATAAAGGAAGGGGTGGCTATTTCCAGCCTGCTCAGTTCCATAGAAGAGCTTGAATTTATCCTGTGCTTGAAGGGTCATTTGGGGGTAGTTTAGTAGGTAGCAGGGCAAAAGGAAGGAGTAACATTAGGGCAGTTCCAAGGGGAGGGAACCATATAAGCAAAGGCACTGAGGCTGGAAGAAAGTACAGGGAGCAACAATAGGAGACAAGTACTGCAAGAAGTGTCAGAGTCGAGAGGGAGCATCTATATATATAAAACCGTAATATGCAAATAGACCGAATGGTGGAACAACAGAACAATCTAACAACTGGTCGCTATGATGTGCGCTGACTACCAGGGGGACGTGTGTAATATGGCGGGCATTGGCCACAGTGGGATGATGGAGCCAGACCAAGGCAGTGCACTGGTCACTGTCATCTGGGCGAGCCTCTGGTGGTCACTGAAAATTCTTTACTCCTGTGCTCCGTGGTCCTACTAGGTTTCGCACCTGCTGCTTGCACACATGCCTGCTGCCAGTTCCAGAGCCACTGCTCAACTCGCTGCAGGTGCCTGGCGCCAGCCCTGATCGCTCAGCACTGTCAGCGGGTGTGAGTGGCAGCTACCGGTCCTGATTGTCCCTAAGGACTTATCCATTTCTCCCTACTCCTGAGGGGCAATCAGGACAGCAGCCCATGGCTCACACCCACTGATGGCACTGGCCCCCGCTCACACCCACTGCTGGTGCTGCTTCAATCACTCAGTGCCATCAATGGGCAGGTGTCATTAGCACATGGGAGCAGATGTAGGGACCAGGGGCTGTGGTGGAGGGGCCAGCCAGGGGAGTGGAGGATGGGCTGAAATTCACCCCTGTGCCCAAAGTAGCCCACAGTTCCTTTCAAGGTGCATGAATTTGTGCACTGGGCCCTTGTTGTTAAAATAAGACTGGAAAAGTATCTCAGGATCCTATTATATTTAATGGCAATTTACTTGGACTTAATTCTGTAGTTATTAGGGATCATGACAGATTTTTTAAAAAGTTTTTCTTGATTTTAAAGAGAGGGGAAGGGAAAGAGAGAGAGAAAATACCATCAATGTATGGGAGAAATATTGACTGGCTGCCTTTTGCATGTCCTACACTGGGGATCAAGCTTGCAACCCAGGCCTATGCCCTGATAGGAATCGAACCTGCAATCTTTCGGTGCATGGGATGATGTTCAACCAACAAGCCATATCAGCCAGAGCCGTGGCAGGTTTTTAAAACAAAGGAAATACATGACAGCAACTAGCATCAGCTAAACTTTGTAAGCATTTACAACATGCCAAGCACTTTTACTAAATCTTCACAACACTTCAAGACTATCTGTATAACATTTTATAGATATAATGGAAAATCCAGAGGGATTGAGTAACTTGCCAAGGATCCACAGCAAATCAGCGAGGACCTGGGATTTGAAGCCAGGAAGTCTTCTATACGAATTTGGCTTTTGAACCTAGGATTGATTAGAGGATCCAGAAAGACTCTGGACTTTTTGAATTGTTTGTAAAGTGTTTAGTATATATGAATGTGTGCATTTGTTTAAGAAAAAACTCTATGGCTTTAATCACATAAGGGGTATGCAACAAAAAGGTTAATAAAGATTATAGCATCACTCTCTTTAGCTCTCAAGAATCCTCCAGTACATTCAGTGCATATGATGGTGACTTGATGCTTATGCTGCTTCTCAGGTTGGAAGAAGCAGAACAATCTGGCACTGCTCAAAATAAAAGGAAGTGTCAAAATAACTTGCAGGAATTGGTATTATAAGTAGCAAGCTGTTCCTGATTGTGAGAATCAGAGAAAATATCCAAGAAGTTCTATTGAAGGTAAACACGAGCTATCCAGATTTTGAAACTTGTAATTATTTGAGGGCAGAGAGCCTAGCCTCCCACTGGGCAAAAATTATTCTTTTACATTTCAACAAAAGCTAAATAATCTCCTGAAATCTGAAATGTTTTTGAAAAATGCCCAGACATTCACCTGCTTTCAATGGGACCAAGTTGTCTTTTCATGGTTAGAGGGATTTACGGGATGAATATGTTTCAGTCCATGAGACTGAAAATTCATTGCAGCCAGTGGTGAATCCAAAGGCAGGTGCCAGAATAAGTGAATGAATGTAGATTAAAGAATTGTTCAGCTAATATCACTGGAGAAATCAAATTAATACCTAAGACTATTTTAATTAAAATTTTCGTGCTTTAAATATGTACATTTTTAAAATATATTTCTGCCACACAAGCAAAGCAAATCTAATTCTTTAATAGTAGGGTTCTGGATTTTCTACTTAATGGAGTTTTCCTTAATATTTTTCTCATCTTTGCTTTCTCACTTTTGTTCTATTTTATTTTATTTTATTTTTTAAAATATATTTTATTGATTTTTTACAGAGAGGAAGGAAGAGGGATAGGGAGTTAGAAACATTGATGAGAGAGAAACACTGATCAGCTGCCTCCTACACACTCCCCACTGGGGATGTGCCCCAAACCAAGATACATGCCCTTGAATGAAATCGAACCTAGGACCCTTCAGTCCGCAGGCCAAATCTCTATCCACTGAGCCAAACCGGTTAGAGCTTTCTCTATTTTACATTTTTTGATGGACCATTTGAAAGTATCTCATATACAATCCATATTCAGATGTTTCCAACTACAAAATACATTTTATCATTGTTCTATAGATTTGATCAAGGATTCAATGAACGATGATTTATAGCCATTGATTGCCATGTCTCTTTCATCTCCTTTATGAACCGTCTTATCTCCCTGCCTCTTTTTGTTCTTTTCTTATTTGGTATTTCATGACATTCACATATTTGAAAAGTCTGAGACAGTTGTCTGGAAGCGTGCCTTTCACCCTGGGTTCATCTGACTTGGATTCCTAATGATTACATTCTGGGTAAACATTACTAGCAAGAACACAGTGCTTCTCTTCAGAAGGTACATGATATGAGGTTAGGCAGGCAAATTTTATTTATTTGTTTTTTTAAAAATTCTTTGTTTAAAGTATTATATATGTAATTATCTCCTTTTCCCCCCATTGACCCTTCTCTGGCCACTCCCACCCCCCACCACATGCCCTCCCCCTCCCCTGTGTCTGTGTCCATTAATTATGCTTCTATGCATGCATACAAGTTCTTTGGTTAATCTCCTGCCACCCACCCTTTGCCTTCTCTCTGAGGTTTTATGGTCTGTTCGATGCTTTTTTTATTTTAGGCAGGATAATTTCAATTATTTGATGAAGTTGGTGTTGGCTGGACCTCTCCATTGTAAAGTTACCTAATCTCCTTGATAATGAATAAACAACCTGTGGGGAAATTCTTGGAGACCATATGCATAGCTTGTTCCCCAACAGTCAGTCATTCGCCCAGTGGCTTTAGCAGTCACTTTTGATCCTTATGTGAATCAGTTATGTTGGTGGCTGCAGCATGGTGCTCATTGAACTTTTGAAGTCACTTTACTGGGGGAAAAGTCTCTTTTTCATTCCCATCCCTGTTTGGAGGGAAAAAATCTAGGCCTCAAATAGGTGGCAGAGAATTTGATAAAAATGAAATCTGAATACAACTATGCAAACATATGTTAAATGTAAAATGGGCAAAGTATCTTCTTTTACTTTGTGTACAGGAAATTTCTGAGAGAGGAAGAGAGAGAGAGAGAGAGAGAGAGAGAGAGAGGGAGGGAAGGAGGGGACATGAATGCTTAGTTTGGGGATTTGCACTTAAAATAATAAATCTTTATTGATGCAGATGAGGAAAAACAAACTGCCATTCTTATTTCCTTCTACACTAAGAATGAAATGAATTTTCATTCAACAGTTACAATCTGAAAAGCTATTTGATGTTTGCCCTCTCATTTGAAAATGCCTCAAAAGTAGTTCTTTATGAGGTTTATTAGATTGAAATCAAGTAAGTATCAAAACCATGGGATTCTTTTAAAAGATGGGATAGTAAACAGATTTTTTTTAATGGGGAGATTTCTTGATGTAGGCTTATAATCCTTTTGGGAATTTATCCTAAGGCTTTCATATCTCCCCCGCTGCTGACTGGCTCACTCAGTGACTCAGTGTTATCTGATGAGGATGTTATTTCACTTTTGAAAGCAGTGTTATTCTTTTTGTTGCAGTATTAGGAAAAGATTGACTTTAGGCAATGCAATATAAGTTCCATCCATCTCAAAATTAGAGAGTATCCTGTTTTTAAACACTTTGACTTGCTTTCTGAGAGATAGCATGCCAACTCGAAAGAATATTTAGAATTCTGATTCTTTGCAAAGAATATTTAGTGTAAGGACTTGTAGTGTACATTGCTTGAATCACAGAGGTACCTTCCTACTTGTCAAGCAGGTTTATGGAACACTTATTTAGTGTGGGCAATCTTTTAAAACCAGTTCATTTTAATTGAGTTTTTCTTAGAGCTTTACTTATAATGATAACAAAACTCTGGTTATATGTGCTGTGATGGTAGATACCATCCATCTTTAGGCATATTGTGGTCTCTAAAGAAACATAAAGGCTCCGTGTATATTTGTTGAAATAAATTTCCAAGTTAGTTGCTAAATTCCTCTAGTCTTAGGATTCTCAGTCTGTAGTTCCCACCTCACTTGAGCTTTCACAGGCTGTCATTTTCTCTTCTTCCTACCTCCCCCCTCCCCCCACCACAGCCTGGTCCCTGCTTTTAACACTGCTGGTCATATACTAGTAGAGGCAGAAAGACCTCTCTGTACCTGATACTGTGTTAGGTTCTTGTAGTAAAAAACAAACTAAGACCTGGTGCTCAAGAGGTCAGAATCTAGATTAGGGGAATTAATCATGTAGAGAAGTCTGAAAAGTACAAGTCATGGTGTGGGGGTGGCAGAGTGGGGGCTGGGGGACAGTTTAAGGAAAGGCATGGTCAACTTTATCTAGAAGGATCAGTCTTGGCTTCATAGTAACCCTAGAATACAGTCTTTAAGAACAGGTTCCCCTGGCAGTGGGGGACTTGGGAAGGTATTAGGGGAAATTCTCCAGGGAATGGAGAAAGTAGTCCCTATGTTTTGTGGATTGGCCCTAATGAGAAGCAAGAGTATCCTGTTGGTAAATTGGGGGAATGTAGATTAAAAAATATATATATATCTAGGAAAAGAAGAGACCAAGGCATTCTGAATGCTGCTAGACGTGGTATATATGCTGCAGTTTGGGAAGGAGATGCATAGGTTGGACCTGGAAGGAAGTGAATGAACATCTTGGCACAAATATGGTAAAGGGACTCAAAGTCTTAGTGAAGTCAAAAAACAAGTGAAGGTGGAAGAGCTAGTCAAATAGAAAAATGTTCTCATAGGGGTGGATAAAATGAGGAGTCTAACTTTGAAGAAACTCAGAGTGTGACCAAGGAGCATATATTGCTAAGGAGGCCCTATTCTTTAATCTCTTTCCTCTCATGGGACTGTCCTTCCTTGGGGAATATCATATCCACTGTCTCTCACATATAACCTGCCCAGATCACATTCCTTACTTCCACACCATTTTATCCAGTGGCTTAAACTGACGATATTTGTAACTCAAGGGAACTCTGATATATAAAACCTTTTAAATCAACCTTCTCATGTTGAATTGATTATTCTTTAGTACCCAGTGTGTACCTCATAAGACTATTCTCATCTATACCTCTTTATAGTCATGTGTTTACATGGCTTTATCTCTTAAATGATAAGCCATTTGAACCCATAGTTAGAATTTGTTTTTATTTTGTTTTGGGTAAGCCAGAAAAGTATCTGTCACTCCTGTGTGCTAAATATTTGTGGAATGGAGGAAGGAAAAAAGGAAGGAATTGGATAAGGAAATTGAAATTGAGAGACCGAAGGAATTTGGGACTAAAGAATTATACACTTTACTACGTGAACTCAAAAGATTATGTAGGAAGTAGCAAAAGCTGAAGAAGGAGAGTTTTGAGTAGCTGTGGGTGAATGAGGAGGATAGGATGGTAGTGGAATTAGGGAGGTGAGTTAAGAATAATAATGGGAAGAAGTCAGTGCAAGGAGGGGGAGTATGGACAGATTATTCAAAGAAAGTGACCTTTAGAGGAAAGTTTAATGACATGAAGGAATTATCAGAGGGCACAGTGGAGAATGGTCTGGGAGAGGACTTGATTGAGTCAAGATCTGCCTAAACCCAAACCTTTGAGTAAATACTGCTTCTATGTTGGAAATATTACAATGATTATTGACTTTTAAATTCTTCCTCTTGGATGTCTCTTGGATGAAGACATCTGGGGAGAATGAATAATAGCAACAACAACAATAAAGATATTTATGAATTGCTTATATTATCTCATTTATTCTAACAATAACCCTATGAGATATGTATTATCATCTTTTCCATTTCATGGATTAGGAAAGTGTGGTTTAGAGTGGTTAAGTAGCATTCCCCGTCCTCACATTCCTCCTAAATGGACCATTTATTATTATAGCCAAGGTGACGCATGCTAGAACCAATGAGGTCCCCTAGGAGCATCAGAAGGACTGTCTGAACTCCTGAAACACTGCCAGTTGAAGCCCTTCCTGAGTGATCAAGTACCCACTGCCTCGTGCTTGAGCCCCAAAAGTTCAACCAAAATCATACTGCCAGGCTGGGAATCTGATGGGACATACTGCTGCTACCTTCTGAAAACAAAGATCTGGGGTAATGATAAAATAGGGTAAAAATACAATAAAAAAGAGAAAAACAAGGACACCTTCATGTTAGAAGAATGATACTGCTTAAAATTCCCAGAGAATATATTTCAGTCTTCTAGATAGGATATATAACTGTTAGCCTGAGTCAAGATGGTGAGCTGGAAGAAGAAGACATGGATTATAAGAATGAATATGTGTTTTGTTTATTGGTGATGGGGAGAGATGATTCATGGGGATTGTAGAATGGGGGCAATTAAAAAGTTTTAAAACTTGGTGATTCAGGGTATTCTCCTTCAATGGGTCCTAGAGGTTCGATTTTGGTGCTTCTGTGACAGAGTCTTTTCCTTCGTGTCAGCTTATGGGGGTTCTCGGGAGCCTTCTTGGGATGCCCTCTTCCCCCAAATGAGGAGAGGACTCGCTGCCTCAGCCAGCGGAAGACCCACCTGAAGTTGAAGAAGGAGAGGGGTTGTGTACTAGAATGAGTGTCCTCCTTCTTCGACTTATCTGACGAGATTGAGCAGGTCTCTATAGTACTTGTTCTTTGTCTGCCAGTTGCCTGTCCTATTGTCTACCAAGGAAATGAATGAGGAGTGAGATACGTGCAACCTGGACAACATGGGATCCATAATTACCCATTCATGGGACTCAAGTCCTTTTACCAAAAATAACCCGATTGTAAATGCAAAGTTTCCATACTCATTAACAGAGGCACTCACACTCTTTGAGGATCCTGATTTTAGGCTTTTCTTTACTTTCCTATCCTCATCTCTCCCTCAGTGGTTCTTGGTATTTTCCCTTTAACTCCACCCTGACCCTTTACCTGGATGTCATCCTTCTTTCACTCCCAGCCATGTCAGACACCCAGAGGCTCCACCCTGCTTCATAGCAGGTAGCATTCCACCCAGGCCCCTCCACCAGGCCTGCCCCCCTGCTTGCTTCTGAGGTGTCACTGGGCTCACCTCAGCAAGTTCGTGTTCCTGACGCTTTGGAGGAATCTGTGGACATTGGGTGGCATTGTTTTCTGGTGGGTCGAACGTGGGCAAATCTTGAAGACAAGTATTATGTTCTTGATGACTGACCTGAGCCACATGTGGAGGGGTGCTGCTGGGCAGCTGGAAATACTCCTTTTGAGCAAATTCAGGGAATATAAACTCATCATCTTCTTCATCTTTCTGATTTTCTAAAAATTGCTCAAGCCTGTGCAGTTTGCTGAGAGTCAGTTTTGTCTTCTCTTCAGGATCTATCCACAGGCTTTCTCCATATGGATCCCAATTAACGATTGAGTCTGAAGGGTTAGCGCCATCCCAGGCCAGGGGGATGCCCAGTTTGCCAAACTGCTCTGTGCTGGCCTGAATTTGGTCTTGTCTCTCCATGAGTCTCCCTATACTTTCAGGGACAAAATGGATTGAGGGATTGTGGGAGGATGTGTCCTCACAGGAGGCTGTATTCTTACTGGGGAATGTGTCCTCATTGGGGTAGTAGCCCACAGAGAGGCTCAGGGTTGATTTAGAGTCCTCAGTGTCAGCACAGTTGTTGCAGGAGGATGAGTCTGCCATAGAGTTCAAGGGCTCAAATATTAGGTGTCCCTTATCTCAGGAATCTTCAAAATAAAGAAAAAATAGATGAGATTGATAAGCAGTAACATTATCTATTCCTTTTTCTATTTGGAACTATTCCTTTCTGGTTCATCCTATTTTGCAGTCTCCAATGAAAGGTAAAAGAGGCAGCTCTCTCCCTTTAAAAATCTCTTTCTTTGTATAACAATTCCTTCTACTAAGCATCTTCACCTGTTGCCCCACATCATCTCACTACAGTTGAAAGAACTTATAAAAGGAAAATTACCATTGTACAAAGTTTGAAAAATATATACATAAGATGAAAATAAATATGCCTATGATCCCTTGATCCAGATATAATGATGACCATTATAAAAACATTTTGATGGATTTCTTTGTAATCTTTTTCTTTCCATATATATATATATATATGTGTGTGTGTGTGTGTGTGTGTGTGTGTGTATATATATATATATATATATATATATATATATATACATACATACACATATTTATACATACCCCCATTCACATACATATGTGGGCATGATGTCACATCAGTTGAAACTGAAATTATTTTATAGCATAAAATAATTTATGTTTTTTCTATTCTGTCACTTTTAACCACTTTCTCGTTAATAAATTTATTTATTAAAACAATAACCACCAGCTAATGACCATTAGCTGGTGGTTATTGTTTTAATAAATAAATTTGTATTAAACCCTATTGTAAGTAATTTTTTATCTCTCTTTAAATTCCTATATGTGGATTTAATGGATCAAAGATCACAAACATATTAAAGGCATCTGATAGTTGATACTAAATTGCTTTCCAGAAAAGTTATAGCCAGTTAGACACCCATCCTCCCACCGTCTGATGGCACTTTTTTCTCCAGCTTTTTCTATGATGTCCCAATAAGTGGGGGGAGCAAGGGAGGAGGACACACAGCACACACACACACACACACACACACACACACACACTCACACACACTGCAGACGCCACCATTTTCTGCTGTGGTAGTTGCCCATGTGAAAGAGGTGCTACCAACTTAGCCCTAAACTGAGGATGTTCAAAATCCTTCAGATCCTGAGTCTCAGTGGCTGGAAGTCCAACTGCTAGAAGTCTGTGTTCTGAGACTGTTGGTTACCATGACAACACAAGGGCCCAAATCAGAGAAGTGACAAGAATACAGGAGCGAGCCCTGGCTTCTAAAACATTCTGTAACCATCCCATCCCGGGCTAAAGAGGATCCCTCCCGAGGGCAGAAGGATGGTTACTTCTGCGATGGCGGTTGCTTCCCTCTTGTCATGTGCATGCCTAAGATGTTTCCTATTTTAAGATAATTCAGAGCCTATTAGTGAGATGGACATAAACACCCTGTTATCGCACGGAGAGGTGAGTGCAGCAGCAGAACTTAAAAATAAGGGTGTGGAAGAACAAAAGGAGTCGCCTCATGCAGCCGTGGTTGAGATTGAGGGGTCAGGAAAAGCCCAGTGGGGGACATGACTTCTCATGTATGTGGGAGGGAAGAAGTTAGTGAGGTGTAAAGCAGGGGTGTGGGAGAGGGCCTTTCAGGGAGAGGGGAGGGCAGGAGCAGGGACACCAAGGTGAGAAACAGCCGGTGGTGGGGAGAGATCAAGCAGGGGTTGGCGAGGTCATGGAAGGCCCCCTCCCTCCTCTTAGGGAACCTGGATTTTATCCTGAAGCCTATACTTGGATGGTAGTGTTCATTGATCAGGCCCTCTTCCAGGCAATTCAAAGTACATTGACATACTTGACATGGTTAAAACAAACAAGACTTCCAGTGGAGTTGGCAGCATGAATGTTATTGCTTGGCTTTAATGAGAAGGGAATTAATATGTTTGCACTGGGTTGAGGGGAATGGGAGGAGAGGAAGTAGGAACAGTGCATATAGACTATACTTTAGGGGTGATAGAATGAGAAAGTGAGAGCAGGGTGCAGAGTTGAGGTCCAGTTTCGCACCCACCCTCCAAATAAAAAAGAGGTGAGAATTCAATACGAGGAAGAATTATTTCAATTTCAAAATATGAAACTTGGCTGCTTTGTTTGGAGAAACTAAGGGTGGGATCCATGGCAGGGGCTAAGGGGTTAGTTGTAATAAAAGGAATATGTTGTTCCATAATATTAGAAGGGGTAAAGGAAGATGAACATGGAAAAATTTGGAGGAATGCATTGTTAAGTTTCACATTTTATTTGAGTTTTTCAGCTAGTCTTCTGCCTTATTCCTGAGGTTAAATCTGCTTCTTCTCTCTCTCTCTCTTTTTTAAAGCATTAATTCTGTTAGCTGCATCTCTTTTCTTATTCTCCTTGTTCCCAACATTATCTTGTCAGCCACTTCAGCAACAGGAAGTGTCTTGGTTCTTCTAGAACTGCTTTTGCTTGTCTTCTTCTTGCTCTGGGCATCCCTGCTGCTCACCACGCCCTCCAACCTCCCAAGCTGCCCTTCCCTTCCGATGGCATCATGACATCATCTGGGGATTGGTCAGATCATGGCTCCTCAGTGGTCCAGTCTGCTCACTTTGCCTTCACTACTATGGTGTTCTCAGTGGGTACTTCATGGCGGAGATAGTAAATCCTTCATTCTCTGTTTCCAAATATGTGATTCTGAAGACAAATGTGAGTTCTTCTGTAGGACTGAAGGCTCTCAGTTGCATAGATTAAACCAAAGAACCTTTTCTATGAGCAGTGACCATGGCCAATGTTGTTATAGCAGCCTCCAGTCTAGTATAAACTGTGGGGCTATGGGAGATTGTTTCTAGGTCAATTCAGTTAATTTCAGGAAGGGAATAGAGCACCGACTCAGAGTTTCCTAGGGACTGAGTGCATATGTACTTGGAAAAAGCATATTCTTAACATTACTTAGATTTGCTTTTGGTTGTTTTTTAAATTTGCAAGTTTCAAACAGCATTAAAAGAAATCATAAGGTTTTTATATTTATCAAAAAGAGGCTTGGCTTTAAACACACACACACACACACACACACACACACACACACACACACCAAGAAACACTGGTCGGACTTAAAAGAACCTCAACTCATTGGAATCTACCGGTTGCTTATGATCTTTCCCAAATATTTTTCTCTGTCTCTTATTTTCATTAAATAAGAACTTTGGTATGGCTCTCAAGTTTGTCACTGTTGTACGGGTTTAACTTTGTAGATTGTATTAACTAAGAGTATTTTAGGTGACTCTGTTTCAGGAGTTACGATGGCATGATGTAAGAAATAGAGTTGGTGCTGGGGAGAAATCATCTCTACTACCCAATGGAGGCTGTTTGGCCCGTAGCCACAGACTGCTCACCACCCTCATGAGTGGTTGGAGACCTAGACCAATCCCCGGGGGTGTCAGTCAGAAGCAACATATTCCCTGGCATTTGTGGTGCACTTACTACATGCCAGGTCATGTCCTAAGCACTTTGCATGTGTTTGTTTATATTTTACAGCAACCCAGTCAATTATCATTATTTGCTCTGTTCTAATGAAGAAGGAACCAAAGTATAACCTGCCCACCATCCCAGATCATAAACTGTACAGCGTGGATTCAAATGTAGGCAGTCTGTCTCCAGAGACCCTATTCTTATCCTCTACACAGTCCTGTCTTTCTGGAGTCTGACTGCTCACAAACCCAAATTATGAAACCTTCAACAAAGTAACTATCAAGTGTTAAGGTCATAAGAAACAAGAAAAGACTGAGTGTGTCACAGACTGGAGGAGGCTAAGGAGAAACAGCCACCTAATGCACTGGGGATTCTAGATGGGATCATAGAGTAGATAAAGGACATTGGTGTAAAAACTGGGGATATCGCAATATGTTTATTTTAGTTAATAATATAATAGTAAAGTTAATTTCCTGGTCTGATTATTTTTTGTGTTAAGATGCTAACTTTAAGATAAGGGATTGTGTTTGCAACTTCTCTGTATGTCTAAAATTAGGTCAAAATTAAAAAAAATTAAATATGTAAGTAGAGTAAATGATGCAGCAAAAACCTGTATACTTATAGCTCATTTTGGTCAAGTTTGCCATAGTTGATCCATTACTTCTTTGAAAAGAAATACATCGTTCTACATAATGATTTATGCCCCCTTGTGTTCCTTCCCTGATTCCCTTCTTTCCCCACTTGTGCCATGATCACTATTCTGAAAGTGCTATTTATCTCCTGCAGGCTTTAATAGCATTTTAGTTTATTACTAGTGGAGGCAGATGGGATGAGGTCCTAACATCAAGATTTACAAATAAATATATTGTCTTACCTTTGAAGACAAAAAACAATGTAACGATGAATTTACTTCATACCACTGCACTGGACACTTAAAATGATTAATATGGTAACTTTTGTCATGTTTATTTTACCACAATAAAAAAAAAATACTTTCGTGGGGGGTGGGGGGAGAACAATGTAAACAGACTATAAGGGATACTCTTCGGAAAAGAGTAAGTCCCTTATTCTCAGCGCTTGTTTTGTTTCATAAGAATTATTGTGACAAGGTCATCATTTTCCCCACCCAGATTGCTAGCTGAGGTATTTACGGTGTTTATTTTGGGGGGTGGGGAGAGGATGGGTGCAGTTTCCTATGCTCTATTTATATGTCCGTTCTCAAACAGACAAGACCTTATCGAAGCTCATGGGTTTCATTAGAGGAGGAGGATGGTGAAGCAGTGTTGTGGCGTATGCAAAGCTCAATGTTGTCGGTCCTCTGCTAGGTGCTTTCACACGGTGGATGGTTTAATCTTCATGACAAGCCCCAGGCTTATTGTGCAGTTCAGATCTGCCTCCAAAGCCAGAGGCCCGAGCCGCTGCCAAGAACTGGCCTCAGCGGGTTATACCTCAAGGGTTGGTATGATTAGCCAACTATGACAGTAGATGGGAACTATAGGTCTCCTTTTACACAACTTCACCTCCCAGTATGGCCATGAAAGCAATTCACAGGGCAAATTGTGCCACACAAACAAGCATTTAGTGGCAAGCAGACCTA